CGGGCGCCAAAGCATAAATAGCTTTAAAGTAATGGTGAATTAGGCAGAGGCTCTTGAAAACTGTGTTCGGCCACCTTAAAGATCAGTAGAATATGCTAGAAGTGAAACGTTATTACTAAAACATACCGAGAAAGCCTAAAGAAAACAATTATATTAATTGTAAGTGCGACATCATGAAGAGAGAAAAATCAAAAAGACTGAATTTAAAAAGTTTGTTTAAAAAGTAAACAAAAAAGAACGCCGGTCATGGCACAGTTTTAGATTAAAATTTGGTATGGTAACGAAATTGTTTCGAGATTATCTCAGGTTGCGTGCTAGTTGGTGTCGTTGAGCTAAACCCTTAATAATGTAAAGAGACCAATTTTAAAAAATGGGGAAAAAATACCAGTCAAAATGATGCCTAAATCCATGAAAGGGTCTTTTCAGGAAGTATTGGTTCGTTAGCCCCAGGTCGAACTTCTTCTCGCACGCAATGCGGACCGTTATGCGGACCGTTATGCGGACCCAATTACCTGTGGGGGCATGGGTACGAGGTTGTTAACGCTTCACCGGCACCGCGCCGGTGTTCGCTGGAGTGCTTCAGGTGTTGTTCTTCGTTACTGAGGTGTGGGCCGAAGGAGTCTTACGATTATATTAACTGGACTATAGTTTGTGATGTAGCAAGTGAATCTCACTGGAATCATCATGCAACACGATTCTACAGTGGAAGAAGTTTTAACGCGCGGTCAGCGAGGGTACAAGTTTACCAACTGGTCGACAACGTTTTCGTGTTCTCCTGAATTGTTCTTCGAACCAGAAACCACTGACGATATAAGAGAGGTTAGTTCATGGTTCTCCTCTTGAATCGCACTCACGTACGGGTGTACTGAAGGCTGAAATCGGGGTCAAATGAGGCCTTATATTTCTGGCTACATGTTAGTGTATTTTAATCGTCTTTCTCTCTCGCTTAGATTCTTCAAGCGGCTTCTGGGTTACGTAAGACAGTTCGTGTTGTGGGTGGCGCTCACTCTCCCTCTGATATCGCGTGCACCGATGGATACATGATAAGCTTGAAAAATTTCAAAGCCGTTTTGGAGGTAAATGATATATTATAAACCATAATGCTTGTAATACTTTTTTAACAATAAGCTTAACATGCATAGTTCACATTGTTAGATTGTAGCTTACAGCGGTTATCAATCACATGCGACCTTTAGCGCAAAAAAAAAGTCTAGACTCGTGAAAATTATCATTTATTTAGAAAACAAAAAATCCCAAGTCTCTAAGTATTGTTGGCAGCTTTGAAGGATAAAATCTGTATGAATGTCCAAATGTTGTGAGCCATAGGTAGGTATGTCTGGGATTCTCGTCAGATGACATTTCTGGCCACCAAAAGCACTGCATGAATTAAATTATGAATATAAGTCAAAGACATGCATTGCCGCTCAATCATCCACCCGTATCCCTATGATTCTAAGGGAGTGTGGGAATGTATCTACCGAACTACAGAGACCGACAGAAATTGAGCCTAATCAGAGAGATGATATATAAATTTCTGTGTTTTTAAAAACAGTTGTCAGCTGAGCTCTAAAAACATCATGAATAGTAAATCACAAAACAGTGTACATGTATAAAGATTATGCAATAATAGATATTGCAAATGGGAATATTTCATTAACAGTGAAAACATCAAACCGTCATTAAGCATAAAAGTACTGAGTAGATGTATCCTGTCTCAAAAAATGCTTTGTCACTGACCATGTTGACACAGAAGTCCTGATTTTGTACATATTTCCTCTCAACTCAGTAAAGATTAACATGAGTTACATAAGTAAATTCCAGCGGTTATCAATCACACGCGACCTTCAGCGCAAAAAAAGTCTAGACAAAACCTAAGTTTTAGTGGACGTCAATCATCTCCGCCTCCTTGCCGACTGTATGCAAAATTTACCTGAAAAAGTGAGACTTCACAGCGGTCCACTCGTAAAAATTATCATTTTACTTTTGGTATGTACGGCTAGCTCACTAAATACATTGGCAGTAAATATTCCTTGAAATTTATAACTGAAGACGGGCAGGTCAGGTTTCTACCCCCAGGTAATAAGTTATAAGTTTTATAGAATTAAGAAATGTTTTCATTTATGGATTTCAAGGATGTAGTTAGTGAGCTAGCCGTACATACCGAAAGCAAAATATATTTATTATTACATAAGCGTGCACTATTATGTAATTATTTATGATTATTGTTAAAGCTCAGCTGACAGCTGTCTTAAAACACACAAACCTAAATATTATCACTTAGACTAGGGTCACTTTCTGCCGCTCTCTCTAGTCTAGTACAGTGTAGATACATTCCTCCTTGAAAATGGGTACAGCTGGAGAAGTGGGCGGTGAGGGGTTAGGGTTAATCTTAGACATGCCTTCCTACAGGTGGCTCATAACAATTTTGTCCAGATTTTATCCTTCAAAGCCACCAATAATACTTAGAGACTTTGAAGGGTCCTAGCAAAACTATCTTCTGGTCTGGTTCCTGCCATCTACAGCTGTATCTTTAAGGAAGGAGATAGGAGTCAGATGATGTTACCTAGTTCCACATATAAATGTACAAAAGCAAACTCTGTAATACTTTAATTTTTCAGTACTTTCATTTCTCTGCTAAGGCAATCAAATGAAACCTTTTCTTTTTTAATTGAAACAATATTCTTGACTTGGCATTTGCTCTAAGAGAGTTCTATTGAGGGAGCTAATGCCTAGGTCAAACCTTTCATCACTGTGATGGATTTGATACCTTGGAGATAGCAATATGTAACATCTCGAGAGGTCTGACATTTCCACTAGCCCGGTTGTACAAGGCTTTGATAGCCAAACCTCATATTTACTTAATTAAGTAAAAATGAGGTTTGGCTATCGGAATTTTGTGGTTTTGAAAGAATTAATATTCAATTTGATTTTTGAATAGTAATGATAAAAAAGTGTAAAATTCCCATTCTATGGTGTCTTTCTCGGCTCTTGTATATTGATATCATAAGGACCACTGGCACCCAGGCACTAGGAGGGCTTCTTCAGGTTATGTTGATCATGTATAATTTGTTTCTGAAGGAAAAATGAATCAGTTGAGTTTTTGATACTGTATTTATTTTTCCTAAGTAGACGTAAGTTAGACGTCAGTCATAAATTAGTAATTCAGAATCCACAACTTCTGACAGTCAGCTGAAGATTCAAATTGGATTTTCCACTGTCATCGTTGCTAGGGACCCCTTTCTTGAAAGTCCTGGTATCTTAAGATCTAAGTCTAGGGAATAGTAGTATGGTTTTTAGCTCCAAAACCCCTTAGTCTATTCTGTTTGAGTTTCATTTCCTGATATTTTTATTGTTTGAATATCGCGATTTTGAATGTAAATGTGGCCTAAACCAAAAAGACGGCTTTTTGGGACTGGTACATGTAACAACTGGGACTTTTGAGAAGGGGTCCACAGGGTTGTTAATTCACCTTAATTTGCAATCGGGAAAACAGGCTGGTCAGAATATATTGGATCATTTACATGTACTTCTGATTGGTCATATGTGTACATGTAGTTTAAAGTAATTATTATTTGTTCATTTATTGTAGATTGATCAAGGCAAGCAGCAAGTGACAGTTCAAGCTGGTTTGACAATTCAGGAACTCAATGAACTGTTAAATGACCATGGCTTAGCTTTATCCAAGTAAGTGATCAGGACAGGAGGACTTGAGGTAGACTGTTCGCAGTCCCCTATTTTTCCATGAGATCATAGATGTCAATCATTGAGTTTGACTAGCCGTCATCTTGATCTCTTGATGCAAGCGAAACTGGGAAGGGTATAAACTGTCCATGGGTAGGGGTGGTGGAGGGCACAGTGGGTGCCCCTTCACCCCCACACTATTAATCCACTGCCTCTACCCACGGACATTTTGCACTCTCCCCAGTTTCGCTTGCATCTAGAGACCAAGATGGCAGGCTGTGGAACCTATGATCTCACAGAAAAATAGGGGATTGTGAACAGTCTAGAATTACATGCAAGGGGTTTGGTCCAGATACATGTATGTATATCGAGTTGCTTGTCTGATCAATGTGTTTTAAAATTACTCCAAACCTGTACTTCAGACAAAATATCAGTTCTTTATGACAAAATTGAGCCAGTGAGTATCTACAACTTTCAGGTTAACATTTAGCAGATAAATGTTGATGCATTTCAACTTGGAGCTCTGATATAGAGAAACAGATCGCTAAGCAAACGTATGTTGTAAACTGTGCTGCCATTACATGTTATTACGTGCTAATTATTTAACTAATGCTTGGATCTCAAGTTTTGACCCATCTATAAGTTGAGGGCGAATTTTTGGACTGATTTTTAGGTCTTGAAAGGTCGACTTATACACGGGTAAATATGGTATGTGTGCTGTCTTCAGTGAAACCTCTAAAAGCTATATTATCAATAGAATGGTTATGGAACCTTCAATTTGTCACTATTACGGTCTGTTTTGAAAGTGATTTCTTTCCTGTCTGATTTGAAAAACAAAACATACAATAATACCAACAGTCACCACTTGAAACA